AGAGTATATCTATATCAAAAATCTTAGGTTTATTAGCTAATATTAAATTATTAGTAAGCTAGCGTAGATAGTTAGCGCGCTATAACGTACCCGAAATACCCGCTTTTAGCGTCTTGGCAAAAGGTAAAAATTTTATAGCGATAAAATCACGTTATATTACGTAATAAATAGAGTAGCTAAACTACTAGCCTACGGCTAATATACTAGGCTATAAGGCGCTCTATAGTAACTATATAGTAACTGTATAGCGACTTACGGCTAATAAGTCATATTATAAGCCGCCGTGGGCTCCCTGGGCTCTTATAGCATCAGCCTTGGCCGTGGGCTAGTGGCACTTTTGCCGATGTAGTAGAATATCTAGAATCTTAACTAGATAGTTCTATTTATAGACTCGTATTACCTTTATTAGGGATATCGCCTAGACGCGGTTCTTTACCGCCTTTATTAGAAGAGTTATATTTATATTATCGCTTTTTAGTATATAAATCGTAACTATTATTAGAATTATCTTTTTAATCTCTCTAAGAATCTTCTTATCTATTATCTTCTTTATATTAAATATAGCTATTCTTATCGTATATCGCTTTAGATATATAAGTAGTATAGAAGTCGTATACTATATAGTCGCGCCGCGCGTAGTAATATCTATCTATAACGGTTTAGTCGCGTCTCGTAGCGACTATATAATTCTCTTAATCGCTTTTTTAATTAAGATAAGTTATATCTCGATACCCTTTAATAATAGTATATCGCGAGTACTAGACGCGTCCTAGATACGTTTTACGCGTTCGACTATCTTATCGAGTATCTAAAGCTATTTTATGTCGATATTCTCTTTCTCGAGATCTCTTATAATTATATAAAGATCGTCCGCTAGGCCGTATAGATCTTCTTTTATCTCGTTTCTCTTCTTAGCTTCTTATTCTTTTCCCGCCTATATAGCGCGTATTATTCTAGTATTTCTCGAGACGTATTAGGACGTCTCGAGGTTCCCCTAGCCTCGCTAGCTAGCGCCGCTCGCCGCAGCCTAGTCTAGTGATTATCGTATGCTCCTCGTATATGTCTGCTTAGTATCTTATGCTCGTATAGGTGTCTCTTTGCGCGTGCTCGAGCTCTTAATATATCTTTTCAACTATTTATAATATATTATCTATAGACGAATAGATAAATAGAGAGAATAAATTAAACGATAGAATAATACTTATAATACTATCTAAACTATAAATAAGATAACTAGGTCGTCTTACTACTAATAGTATAATTCGTATTTAATAATAATATTATAGTTATAGAAATATTA